GGATTACCTAACAAAATCCAATTGATCAGAATCCTGGACAATCACGCTCTGGAAGCTGAGCAACCCTCAACCAGATGATGTGTCGCTCGACAGAAACAGGACCTATGAACAAATACAACTTCCAAAAAATCCTCAGTTCCGGACTTATTCGCCTTCAAAAAACTATAAAAGACTCCCTCCAGCATATTGACCCCTATGACAACAACTGTGGCAACCTCAATGAAAAATATACCAAGCAAGAACACGAAACAAAAGGACTTGGATTTGCCGAAGATTGGCTGATCACAAAAGTCCGTTTTCTGCAACTCAACGAAGATCCAAGAAAATCACAAGCTACACCCACTCAGTCAGACGGTCTTGGATTTATAATCAAACGAGTGTGGGAAATGCTACTTGCTATTTCACTCATCTACGATGGCAGAGACACATGTGTGCGGATGTTGCAGCTTATGAAATCTGGAAAGCAGATGAGCGAAATCAAGAACCTTGACGGTGACGCTGGCGTGCGCAAAACAAGCTTCAAAGGAAACGCCACGGTCGAATTCACCCCTGACGACTGGTACACTTTCAGGTTGAAAGCTTATTCATCCCTCACCGTATTCTTGCTCTTTGGCGTGGCTGGTTGGTTCCACTGTCAAAATGACCGACGTAGGTTTAACATCCGTGATTTGTATTCAATGTATGCATTAGTCCATCAAATGTCATTAAAAAAGGCCACCATCACCTCAAAAATCACGCGATCCCTTAACAACGTGGATTCCGAATCAATCAACCCAGGCTGGGAAAGGATGAATCAGCACATTGTCAATCTTCTTGTCAAATCTGGTGTTGGAGAAAGGACTCTTGATTGGTTTTCTGGTTTGGAGATGTGGAAAAAACAGCTTAATCCTTCTGTTTTAGCCCCGTTGATTATCAAAGACTTCTTTTCTGAAGTTCTCGACCCTGGATTGACCCTATCTTCAACTGGATCAGAAGCTCCTCAAAACATAGACCACCAAAAAGTCCTCGAAAATTGGCAAGCAAGAATTCCTGAAATTTTCTGTCCACCACAAACCGCAATAGAAAAACGGACCCTTCGGCTTCATAAACTAGGTCTAATAACTGTGGACAACTCTGGCCAGGATGAAGGTTGTGAAGGAAGAACAAATGAACCAGCTGAAGACTACACTGAAGACATTGCTCAATTGATAAAAGACCATTGTACCCCTGGTTCAAAAAATCATAAATTGTATGAGAAAATGATGCAAGTAGAACATACTTCATGAATTACTTTGTTTTGTTTTGATTTGATTTCCTTGTCTTTTCTTTTCTTTTCTTTTCTTTTCTTTTCTTTTCTTTTCTTTTCTTTTCTTTTCTTTTCTTTTCTTTTCTTTTCTTTTCTTTTCTTTTCTTTTCTTTTCTTTTCTTTTCTTTTCTTTTCTTTTCTTTTCTTTTCTTTTCTTTTCTTTTCTTTTCTTTTCTTTTCTTTTCTTTTCTTTTCTTTTCTTTTCTTTTCTTTTCTTTTCTTTTCTCCCTGCTGTTGGTCAGAATAGGAATCTAGAACATGCACACAATTTGATCAAGGTAACCCTAACCCAGTTGTGATACAATAGGGATGGAACCAAGAGGATACATGGGGCTTGATTATCTATTTCAAGTTGATCCCAATGATAGTGTAGAGAATTACTTGTTTGTCCTGAGGCATTTAGTTACTAGTCCAAATAAAATTGAAAGTTTTACATAAATAAACAAAAAGACCTCAAGGGTATATAAATAAATTGCTTTGTTTGTCCATGTAAGTAAAGTTCGCCTACTATTTTAAATGAGTATTTCAAAAAGGAGATCTAATATTTTGATAGATTCTGAGGAGAGGGTGAAAGATTCAATCATAATTAAAGATACATTAATTGACTGTTATAATTCATCTTCCACCCAATTTAAAGAAATAACAAAGGCCAATACCTGATGCTTGAGCTTTCTGGATAGCTGAAGTATTCAGTCTGTAACTTGTGCTAGTTTCTATTGTTAGCCTTAACCTCTAGCCCATCATTGTTGAAAAGAAAGGCCAATCCCTGATGCTTGAGATTTCTGGATAGTTGAAGTATTCAGTCTGTAACTTGTGCTAGTTTCCATTGTTAGACTTAACTTCTAGACCATCATTGTTGAAAAGAATATAGTATGTTGCATTCAGTGATTGGATCAGGTAAGATGATAACAATAGTGTGTTAGATTGATGGCTTATTTCAGCTGAATTCAGCTGCCAAGGAGTTTTATCATATTTCTGAAGATTGTGGGGTGTTCATAAATACATAAATAGCCACATCACCTCAAGATGTTGCTTATACCAGTGCCAACTTTCAAAAGAATGTTTGAATTTTTCATGATGTCAAGGATATTTATGACCATGCAATTGTGATTTTACATTGAAAAATATCATATGTTCTGTTTATCACCCTCAAGAAAAAATAAACATCTGATTGGGTGTGAGATTCAACACCCACCTCATTTAGTAGATTAGCTCATTAATTAGGCGTCAAACACCTGTAAGTTCAGGATCAATAAGGTGCATTGTAGAGATACACAAATTAAGAAATTGATTTCAAGTCAGCTGATAATATCATGCTTGGTTTAAACATGGTGCCAATTCAAATTGCAGAATGTTTCATGATAAATAGCAGCTGGTTTTTGCTCTCTCCAAATCTTACACGTTACACTTTATTTGTTACCATTCAACAGAATCAGGCAAAAAAGATAAATTCTGGTTGACTTGAGGATTTCACAATGACACAAGCTGATGATTTGCTATAATCAGAGGATTCAAGGTCCACATGTAATTATTTGAGATCAGACACAACAGAAGATGGTCAGGTTTCAAAGAAAAGGGATAGACATTTGTGTCAGCTTGTTACTGAAATACAGAACAAGCCTGACCAAAACCTTAATAAAATACACTTTTTGTTTTATCATTTTGTTATTAGTGCTCATATTATTAATCCTAGTAGTTAGTTGTTGTATCCTGCCTTTTGAATTATTTAAGTAATATACAATAATAAAAAGACAACTTGGGAAAGATCTCAGAGCTCGCGCCAGAGAATCCGCAGCAACCGCAGACAGAATTGGGATCTTGGTGTCATTGCTAACAAAACTAAGAACAAACGTTGACACCGCCGGTCATGACCTCATGACAAACAAAGAAGCCTCGAGGACCCAAAATGAGAATGGACTCCCATACGCTATTGACGACCAACCAAGGAGGTATAAAAGGAGCTAGAATTCATAGGTCAGAAGGGCATTGAATCATTAACCTCCATCCTTTTCCAGAACTATTCCCCTTTCCACCTTGTAACACTAACTACTGCTGTTTTTATACATACCCTTGTGACTAGGCAAAACATCTACCCTTAAACTCTCGAGGCCCTGCACTCCAGCCCACCGCCGCCTTCAGGGAACCTACCTCGTGATCGGACACCACTAACACCTTCGTCCCTAGCTTAGAGGAACTTCGATCCCAGTAAGTTCCTCTTGCCTCCACAATCCCTATTCCTCACTCAGATACTACGGACCAAATACCCTCGCACTTTGTCAAGACCCCGTAATAGCCGTCACCAAGTCTTACTATCAGACTTAGGCTTGTATCCTCCGAGGGCACCGTAAAAACCCCCATAACCTGGGCCCCTCGGTTCTATTCTTTATCACTCCAAATTCTAGACACCCTACTAACTAATTACCCGGTGTAGCTAGAAGACCAGCAGTCTTGGCATCACCACGGTTGACAATTTGGATGTGGAGAATACATATATGATGTCAGCCTTCAGCCCAAAAGACTGCTCAAGTCCCCTTTTTTCACATTCCTGCTGTTACTTTTTCATCTTAAGATTGTATCAATAATAAAATTTTGAATTTAGAGATGAAGAAATTAATTAATCATGCAATTCCAACCCTAGTGACCACTAACCACTTTTACAATGCTTTTCACCTTCATTAGGGGGGTTCACAATAGGTTTTCACCAGAAAAGTTTTATCGTCCCACCAGAACGGTTTTGCATGCTGCTCAGATTAAAATTTTAGACAATCTTTAACACACCAGAAGTGGTACACCAGTAAGATTTAGTAATGGAAAAAAAATGGTGAACACATCCCATCATTTGACAAAATTTCTGCTGGTTTGTTCCACATAACCTTGCCTGTTCCACCCACACAGGTAATCCTCACTCAAACAACATACCCCTCATCAATCACTCCCCTGATGACCAATCAGAGCACTGATGGGAGTACACACCCCCATCACGAAATGACCGGTCATCAGGGGAGTTTGTACTCCCATCCATGACTGGTTTGGACTGGTCATGTCATGATGGGAGTGTGTACATACTCCCATCAATAGCTGGTTCTGACCAGTCATGTCATGATGGAAGTGTGTACTCCCATCAATGACTGGTTCTGACTGGTTGTTGATGCAACTACACATTCCCTTTGATGATTGGTCAGAACGGGTCATTGATGGGAGTGAGTAGTGGATGTCCGATCAATACCAGTCATCAATGTTGGTGTGTAGTGCACAAATGGTGGTAGTTCAACACTTGTCATCAATGCTGGTGGTGTGTTGATTCAAGTTTTATGGTCAACATTTGAGGACCAGAAACACTATGGATGTTGGTCAGTGTTTTTGCTGATGTTTTTAGCTTAAAATTTAACAAAAAAATCACACCAGCAAGAATTTCTTTAGGGGGGGCCAGAAGCCAAAAAAGCTATTGTGAACCCCCCTATTGGCTTTGTAACACCTAACCATAAATTGTGAAATATCAACCAATTTGAAATTCCACCTCTCCCAGCCACATGTATATGTAATGATTATGTAATCCAACTCAAAAAATCATGTCAGAGGATACTGAGTCTGCTATTCCAGGATTTTCAAGGTTCAGACACACCCAGAACCAACTCAGACCAGAAAACATCAACTCAACTTGGATGCATCACTGTTATTGATTATTGTTGGATGTCAGGATCATCACTAAGTAGGTCACTTCTCCAGTTCACCTTGCATATTTCTGCTAATTTTCTTCTGTTTCTCCTTGAAAGATTGATTCATTCTTTTTCTACCAAACATCTGCCTTAATCATCATCAAATCAAAGCAAGTCATTCTTATCTACTCTGTTTGGACCTGGAGATATAAATGAAAACCAAATATGTTTCCCTTTCTGGAAACTTTATCTTAAATATAAGAAGATGAGGTTGGAGGTGTAGATTGATTTCACTCAGACCAGCCATCCAGAAAGGGAAGTAAGAATGCATAAATTTTAATCTTCAATGAAAAATAAATAAACAATAAATATTATCTTTATTAATTTTATCTCTCTCTCCCCCTGTTGTCACTTTTGAGACCCAGGTTCACATATGATATGGCTAGAGATACAGAAAATGATAAACATTATTGGACAGTGCCAAGACTATGAGAATAAAAGAGAACTGACTGATATCATTTTCTGCATCTAAGCCTAACCCTCATAGTAGATCACTCAAAGTAAAATCAGAATCATTATCACAAAGGGAATGCAACATTGTTGATATTCAATGCAAAAAAGGGAAACCTAAGCCTTCAAACTTCTTAAAACACCCCTAGACCTAGATTATGGTGTTAGTGAAACCTTATGTGTATTAACAACAATCTACATTCCAACTAAAAGACCATTCCAGTTTTTTTATGTGAAAATATCCAGATAAGAATTGTATTGAATCCATTTTCTAGAGAAACAAATCTGTAGATTGAATCAAATCCAAACTTCATAAAACATCCATTCCAATCATAAGACCACTCTATATTCGCTTACTGTACATAATTCAGATAAGCATTCTAGGTATTCTTTGTGAACCATTTCTTGACTATCCATTCAAGAACTCTTCTGTCTCAAGTTTATTTATTTTATACCTTTCTTAAAAAATAGTTTTACACCTTGATTAGACCAATTCATCTAATCTTTCCATCCAAAAACCCAAATTGATCCATTCTTTTCACTTCTGTTGATCTTTTCATTCCTACTGAGGCTTGCATACACACCATTGCTTTAGACTTTCCATCCTACAACCTAATTCCTTCCTTCCTTTTTTCATCTTTTCTATCTCAGAGCTTCACCACTATCAATCAGTTCATCCAATTCAGTCTGACTATCCACTGGATCACCAGGTCCTCTTTACACTTTGCCTCATCTAAGTTCTTCAAACTTGTCAAGCTGAAGGTATGTGATCTGTTTTCATTTTCATGGCTGAGCTCCTTATTATAATCAATAGGATAACAAACTCCACTCATCAATGGTTACTGGTCCATCTTGCAAACATCACAGTGCCCCTAGACAAGATCCCTCAGAATTCCCATCAGAGAGTTTCAATATGTCATATGAGGTGTGTAACATGAATTTTTGGGGTTTAAAAGATGTCAATTTGGATGCTGAATTTAACATGATTCCTTAATCTTGAAAGAATCCATCCAGTGCTGAGGTCCAGAATGATGTTTCATACAGAGATCCAAGGAGGGGCTGCAGTATGTCAATGGTGAGGATTAACTTTCCTACTCTATTCTTTCACTAGAAATAAAAATTTCCTTCCCAAGCCCAAATTGGGGGTTAGTTTTAAAAAGAATTTGATTCATACTGAGGGGTCAACTGATGCTTTCAAGTCTTGTGTTTTGAAATTAGGGAGAGTTTTTTGATAGTACTCTTTTGAACCCAGTAGAGCTAAACAATAGGGTCATACAACAGAAAGCAAGTTTAATTTAAATATTTCTGTCACACTTCATGCATCTCTATGATTTTTTTTTTCATGGAAAATGAACTGATTTTTTTATCTATTTTCATCAGACTGGAACACCCCAAGATTGCCCAGACAATAATCGTAGCTTTTTGCTAATGCCAATGGAGGTGAAAAAAAGTATGCAGGCTGTCAAGGTCAGTTGTATCAAATTATAATTCTTAAATCAAACTTCTGACTGGATTTATCAATTTTAGCTAAAGGGTGAAACTGCAGGTGTTTTCATACCTGGGATGGATGTTCTGGAACCAGCATCTCCAGTTTCTAGTGAAGAGTCTGATTGGGGGGCAATGGTAAGAACACCTCCATTTTATAATAAACTTCAAGTCTAATTGATGCTAATGTGTATTTATTCAATCAGATTGATAGCCTTGTTGGGCTGAAAGTGTGTCCTAAGGTAGGTTTCATTGAGCTCTCCTTGGTTTTTTTCTGGATAAATATTTTGACTTGTAAAATCAATTGTAGCCAAATGATGCAGCTGGGGGTGGGTTTGGATGTGTTATGGATGTTGAGGAGCCTGGATCTCCAGTTGAAAGTGAATATTCTGATTGGGGGCCTATGGTAAGAAGTCTTCCATTCCATAATTGTTTTTCAATTAAATTGTTACTTACTTATGTGTGTGTAAACAGATTGAAACCCTGGTTTGGCAGCAAGGATGTGGCAAAGAGAGTTTGAATGGACAATGTGAGCTAAATAAAGTGAGTTTGATTGAACTCTTCTAGCTAAATATAATGTTTTTTTTAATGTATCATTTGACTGGTTCAATCAATATGTAGCCAATAATTGAGGAAGAAGAAGTAGGAGCCAAGTCTCATGACAATGATGTGGTAAGACTGTCTGTTGTCAGGCTTAATTATTTTCAAAACCTGATTAATTGTTCACATTTTCAACAGGTTGGGGTTAGCAATTTTTCCCCAGAAGAGGTTATCAGAATCCTGGGGAGGCCAATCAAGGTAGAGAAAGGGGTTTCAGCTCCCAAAGTGAGTTTTCTTGAAATATGGTGTATCAGAAGAGTAAGCTGACTTTATAAATTGATGTGAAGCCATCAAGTATAGCAAAAGAAGAGTGTGTGGTGAAACTACACTCTCTGGATTCTGGAAAAGTGTCCACTGTCAGGCCAATGGTAAGGAGTTTGCCTTCATTGTAATTTCTGAGGGATAATTTTGCTTACATGCATGAATCAGATTGATGGCCAAGTGGAAAAGTGGCTAGATGTGTTGGAACCTGGACCTCCAGCTTCTGTTGACCCTGGGTCTCCAGTTTCAAGTGATGATTCTGATTGGGGGCCAATGGTAAGATGCTTATTATATGATCACCAATTTGAAGAAATTTCTATGCTGATGTGGTGTGTATTTAGATTGCAAATCTTGTCACTGATCTTCAAGTAAGGATGTACAACCTACCAATTCCAGATGAGGAGGACTATGACTTGGACTCTTGGGCAATCTCGATTGAAACACATCAACTGTCCACCATTCTTGGCACTATGGGTCTTGTAACTCTTGCGCATCACAGCTTGGAAATACAGGACCACCAAGACTTTGCAGATTATGTGTTTGTGGCTCAAGGTGGATGTACTATTCGAATCCCACCCAAATTCAAGGCAGGTGTTCTCAAAAAATTGTGGAAGAATTACCACATCATTGCACATCCCTCCAAAAATCCTCTAGTCCTCAACATGGGATCTCCTTCTTGTACTGTTGGAATGCTCCAGGAAATTTTGCATCAACTTTGTGTACCAACCTTGCGTTTAGCGTCGTATGGGATGAAGTGTCCATTCAGTCTAGTCTTCTATAATCTTGGCGACGGCGTCCGTGGCTTTATGAAAACTGAACAAAAGAAGAATCACTTTGATATCGGCTTTATCCACTATCCGTACTATGGTACTAAACATTTCCGCCACGAGATCCTGCTAGCAAAACGTCCTCCTGGTTCCAGAAAATGCCAATCCGAATCTTATCCAACACTCTTAGAGCTTGGCGAAGGATTTGGAACCATCAATCTCAAACCTGATCATGAAGCCATTACACGCCTCAAGTGCTACTCTTCGCTAACACATGCTCTCAAGGCCACCTCCCAAAAGGATATGAAGTACGCTCCAACAATGGCCACCACCTGGAATACACGTTTGGATATCTTGGAAAAAAAGGTTGACGTCTTGGCCGCAAACGATCCAGTTCACCTCTGCGGTCTTAGATTCGAAGCAACTGTTTATGCATCCACAGTTGACGAAGCCCAGGAGATTGTGAGATCTGGGTATCTTCACCCTCTTGCTTACAGCCATGGACCAGACCACCCAAACGAACAAATCGCACTAGACTTCAAGGCCATCCCAGTTTTAGAATACTTTGCTTATGTTGCTCTTATGCTCAAGAAGCTCAAACAAATGAAAACAGAGGTCTCTCAAAAACACGAAACCCAGAGAAAAATCACAGACATTCAAAAGCAGGCCATGGTGGATGTTGCCAATGCAATTGGATGGAACGGCGGACGAGGACAGAGGCCAACTAGTGTGGATAGAAAAAAGGTCCCAGAACCCTGGTGGGATAATTGTCAGTGGTGTAATCATTCATCTTATCCAATTGATTTTTTTTTTGAATTAATGTTTTTTGTTTGTTTGTTTGTTCTCCAAGATGGTGACAGTTGGGAGGAGCGCCGTAAAAAAAAAGGAGATGTTGATCCAGAGGAACTGCTGAAACGATCTCCATTGGACCTCTGGCAATTGCGACCCAGAAGAGTGTTTCCTTGTGCCATTTGCAATGCTCCCGACAACCCTAACCCACCCCCACTCAAGAAGTCGGCACTCTATCCCCCCGGATCTATCACCTCAATTGCTGGCAAGAGGAATATCATACTCAAATGCAATCACTGCTCTATGAAAACTGATAGCCAGAAGAAAGTTGTCATCATGTTGGCCACGTGGATCGAAAAACTAGGATTACCACTTCTCAGCGAGGATAAGAGGCGTACACTTCCTGGCGGCTTTTCCAAGGACAACCCCGAAAAGATTCCATCCCCCAGCCCACCACCTCAAACCATTCCTGAAGAATCATCTGATAAATCCTCTCCTGAGCCCCAAAGAAAGAAGGATCAGCTTATCCCTGTGGTCGTGGTTCCTAAAATTGCCATGAAGAAAAACCTAGTTGAAACCAAGACCATCCCCTCAAAGACAAGAAAGAACAACAGTCTTGCCGATTCCGTCAAAACCAACATTGATCTTGCAAGCCAAGCAAGGACAACTACTAAGGAGAAGCTGAAGACACCTCAGGACAGATCACATGGACGGACCCTTCTTGGATGGACTGGTTTTGCGGATTTTTTACACAAGAACAATCTCTGCAACGACTCGTCATCACACATTCCTTCTTCTGAAAAAATACCAACTTCCTCCAAAAAGGACATTCTCGATGGCTGGAAGCTCTCTGAAAATTTCATCAAAGGAGATGGGAACTGCCTTTTCAGAGTGGTGGCAACCTGGCTTCTGGGGCATCAAGATCAACATCAGAAGATAAGAACACCTTGTTATGATGAGTTGGCAAAGAATCAAGATCATTACGCACCTTTTGTCACTCGAGACGACCTCAGGCAGCCTGGCCAAACAGCCCAAGAAGGACTATTAATTCAGTCTTTGCCTGAAGAAGAAATCTACAATTTCTTTTTGAGAAAAAGTCAATCTGATGGGTTTTGGGGTGGAGACCATCATCTGTCTGCAGTCTCACACGTCTTTGGGATTCAATTGGTTGTACTTTCACAAAACGGAGGAACTTACACATTTCAACCCCGAACTGGAGAGCTCAAGAGGACTATATACCTATGGTATAATGGAAATAACCATTACGAGATCATTTGGAACCCCCAACTTCACTCAGCTCAATCAGCAAATCCAGTCTTTCAAACTCCACAGAGGAACACGCTACCCGGAAAGTCCGTCCTCAAGCCATCATCTTTTCCAAGAAATCCCGCCGACAAATCCTCAACAACAATTCTTTTCAATCCACAAGCCAAAAACAACAAGAGGGTTTCCTTTGGAACCTTGGTACATGAAAAAATCATCACTACGGGAAATTCTTTGTTGCACATTGACCCTAGACTTCAAACACCTCCAAGTCAACTCACCAAATGCAGTTCAACAATCTCAAACATTCGTAAAAGTCAACATTTTAATTCTGCTCCTCCACAACCACGAAATCCAGTTGTTGTGATTCCACCTATCTCATTCTTTCCCTGGAATCAGCCACTGCCTCCCAACTTGAAGAGGAAGAGAAACAGAATAGCTGGATTAGAGAAGAATCACGGACTACCCATAATCGATGGCTATTGGAACAGAGTAAACGAACGATTGAAGTTGGAAACTGGAAAAAACAAGAAGACGATTCCTTATGGTGTCATCCGATTTTCTATGCCAGAGGGACTCTTGGAGGGTTGGTACATCTCACACAACTTGATTCAGACATCAAAGTCCATCATGGATCCAGACATTACTGGCTTCTACCATGCGGTTAATTACTGGATGTCCGGCACACAAGATCGACATTCAATTTTTCAAAAGGACTTGGCGGAACACTTGGGAAAGCAACTACCTCAAATGTCAAAAAATTCATCAAGATTGGTGCGTGTCGACAACAAGAAACCCTTCTCTGTTGACGAAATCAAGAAGGCTTTCCACTTGGTGTCTGATGGTAAAAAACCTGATCAAGTGATATATTCGACTGCTGCAACTATGTTGAGGGTTGTTCTTGTTGTGGTTGAGATGGGATCTACCTCTGCTACTTGGTCCCAGTACTCGCCATTTGGATCTCACAATTTGGCACCCTTCCCTTCTATATACCTCTTTTTCAATCTCAATGTCAATCGATTTCAAATCATGTGGGCACCTCAAATTCATCAGCCTGTAGTGTGTCCAGAAAACCCTGAACTTGAAACACGATTATTGGGCAATACCAATTTGCTTTCCAACCCTCAATCACCACCATCTCATGACCATACATTTTCAGTCCAACCATCAAAAAACAAAACCGTGGCCGACCCCAATCCAGATTCTTTGCCACCACAAAAACGCTTCAAAACCCAGCCAACAAGTCAAATCCCACATCATACTCTTGAACCTAATTGCATGCCCACCATTGAAGATCTGCGTATGGTTGATTTCGGTCCAGCTTTGACCAGACTTCACATTTACCACCACAAGGATGCATGCAATAGAAAATGTCGCTCAATCTCACAGGCAGCTTATTTTGAATTGGGAGATTTCAGATATGTTGGCTGGAGATTATCAATTGGTTTCTTTCCTGATGACCAAAACTCGATCTGGCGTGTACTCAGCTTGTGGATATATAAGAGTCAAGAAAGATACAATGAAGTACGAAAATTATGTGACGACAGGCCTTGTCTTGATCTTGAAGACAACCCTCCGGAATTCCATTCCTCAGAGATTCCACGAATATTGAAGATAGCATCAACTAGATATAGGGCTAATATTTTACTGCTTCATATTCAAGACGGATACGGCGCTTTGGAAAAATTTGAACCATGTCATATTGATGAACATCAACAACCCTCAACTCCCAGGTATTACTTCATTTACAGCTGGAAAGGAAGGTTTGGTATTCTTTATTGTCAACACCACTTGTGACTGTGTAAGCCTTTCTTTGTGTTATTACTTTATACACAGGATCTGATTGTTATTGTGTTTTTCAGGGACTTGTTTTGGTTATTCTCATTGCCTTTTTCTTTTTCCATTTTTCATTTTTCTTCATTCTTGTGGCAATCTGGGATGTTGTAAAATGGAAAGTCTCACTGGATATCACCAATAGAGAATTCATTCATTGCTTCCATAAAAAAAACTGAAATTTATGGAGGATTGACATGACTAAGCATGGGGTTTAATGCATGCAAAAAAAAGGATGTAAAAGTATAGGGGAAGATAAAAATGGAAATCACATGCAAAACATTCAGACAGGGTTCAAAACCAATAATTAAATGACAGCAAACTTAGATTGAGCTTAATTGACACAATTGTATTGAAGGGCTGAAACTGAAGCACAAAATCTGAGGTGTAATATGGTGCAGTTGGCAATGAAATGTGGTTTATTACTTTCCTTCTGAAACTTGGCTTGAGGAGTTCAGAAGATTCTTTTTCACTATTTTGGGTTGATGTTGTGAAGTTTGGCCAGGTGAGTTTGAGAAGAAGGTTGACAAAAATTTTATTTAAGCTGGATTAAATTGTTGAACAAGCCAGCACAAAAACCAGAGCTCTGGATTTCCTCTGACAAATACAGGCTGCCAAGATTCTATAGGCAGGCCATATGAGCACATGTTGGACTTGTTTGTCCTGGAGTGAGTTGATCAAGTGTGTATAATTTTCTTCGTTTCATTTCTGGTTTGCAGCATAAGTTGGCCAGGTGGATTGTGTTGAAGGATCCACAGGTGGGACCTTATTTTTTTTTTTTATTCCTGAGCTGGATTATCTTTCTTTTTTTTTTTTTTGGTATGATTGTTTGTTGGTGCTAGTTTAATAATTGAGAATAATATGGGAATATGATGATTTGATATCTGAGTAGGAGTGTAGTTGGTGATACTGAGGAAGAAAAAGAATGTTGTGGAAGTTGGCTTTTCTGGTAAGATGAATTATGTGAGATTTCCATGTAAATTGCTATATGAAGATCCAAGACTAGAAGAAAAAATAAGTAGAACAAAAAAAAGAACAATAAGAAAAAGAGGAAGAACTTGTACCAAAAAGACAACTCTAATTACAAGGTTAGGCTTTGGATAAGTATGGATAAGTTATGAGAACAACCAGGAATAGTATCATTTGAAAGAATCAAGCTGAACTTTAAATTACTAGGCATTATTTTTTGAAGAAGTAAGGAATGACTCAAAAAGAAGGGAGTAGTTGACCAAAGAATTCAATAAAAGCAAGTCTTTCAGAAAGATAAGAGGTGGACCTGATAAAAAGAGAGACAGAGTGAGGAAAAGGGTGGAGGAGTGAGGAGTGAAGGAATGGATTAGGGAGAGAGAAAGTGAAAAAGATGACAAGGAGAATTGATCCACAAATGCAGACTGTTGTTGTGTAGTCATTGGAACATAGACCAAGTAATCAGATGAGTTGTCAGAAATACAACTGGACATGGAAAGTTTTTGAAAAGGAAGCAAGTATTTTCATTACCTAAGATTAAATTTGATTGGTTTTTTTTTCTGATGGTTGGGAGGAGTTGGCCAGGTGACCTGCTTTGAAAATTCAAGAAAATATATATTCAGGGTTGGTTGAAATTCATTTGATGTTGTGTGGAGTTGGTGAGGATGTTGTCTAGGGGGATTGTATGGGGATTGGGGAATGATTTTGTTGGTTGCTGTAGAAGAGAGAAGTTCAGATGAGTGTTTGTTTGATAATGGAAAATGATTTAATTGAATCATTGTGATGAGTTGGCCAAGTAAAGTGGGTTGGGGAGAACAAATAGACGTGTTTTTTTTTTCCTCAATGGAATATGGTTTTGGAAGATGATATGTTCTGAAAGTGTATGTTGGATAATATTTTGAATTGCTTGTGACTGAGTAACAAGAATTTCAAATACAAAGCACAATGACCCATGGGTTAGATGTTGGTTTTTGAGGAGGTCACAGGTTCAAGAAAAAAAAAATCAACTCATCAGAAATTCTGGAATGTTCAATAGAGCTGGAAGCTAGAATATTAATTTGTCAAAATTAAATTGAGTAAGCTAGAATATTAATTTGTCAAAATTAAATTGAGTCTGAGTATTCTTGATGCAGTTGTGTGATGAAGATTATTGGGAGTTGGCTGGGTGAATTGGGAAGCTTAGAAAGTTTTGTGATGGGTGTTATTTTCAGGATAAAATTTGGTGTGTGGTTTTTGTTGGAAGTGACTATGAGATTTTGAAAAGAAGGGAGTATGCTAACTTCTTTGGATTTCTTCTGGAGATGAACTGGGGTTTTTTTTTTCTCACAGGTTTGTCAGAGTCAGATGAATTTTGTTGAGAGAAAATATATCCACTTTGTTCAGATTTTGTTTGATACAAGGTCTGGACTGAGTTTTTTTGTTGTTGAAATGGAGATTGATTGCTAGAAAGAGAAAGAGACAGATGAAAAATAAGAAAATAGGATTTGAAAAACAAACAACGAGTGAATAAAAAAGAAAGAAAAAGATTCACCGACACAGAAGAAACAAGAATGAAGAGAAAAACAAAAGTAAGAAAGGGAGTAAAAAATGAGACAGGATGAACTAAGGAGAGAAGATGAGACATGACCCAAATGGTCCAAAGCAAGGTGAAGCTGTTGAGAGTGGATTTCCAGTTGATGGAGTGAAGTGGTGAAGTCAAAAAGTTAGAGAGTCAAGTTGAGAAGAGGTTGAAGGATATGATGAGTCAAAAGTAGGTGTCAGTTGATGTGGGAGCAGGATAGAATTATTCAAGATAGGGAGGAAGCCTGGCTGAAGGAATTGGAGTGGGGGAGAGGGATTGGATTGAGAAAATGAGGATTGTTGTTGGATTTTTCTGAGTGAAGTGAGTTGAGAGAAAGAAAACAAGCACATGTGTTTTTTTTTCTCTGGATGGAATATGGTTTAATGGCTCCATTATTGCAAGACAATGTGTTCTGAGAATGTTGGATGGTATTTTGAATTGCTTGTGATCAAGTATAAAAAAAGTCCCTGGGGTCATATTCTCTCAGGGAGAAAAAAAAACACAAAGCACAATAACCCAGTAGTTAGATGTTGGCTTAGCATTGTTTTTGAGGAGGTCACGGGTTCAAACCCCCCTGGCACCAGAAAAAAAAATTATGCAACTCATTTGACAATGGATGCCACCAAAAAAAATACGGTGATGATGGATACAGCAATACAGCTTTGGGCATAATGAATTCCCATTGAAGATCACAGAGCAAGCAACTCATGTGCCAATGGATGCCACCAAAAAATGGTGATGATAAATACACGTTTTGGGCATAATGCATTTGCATTAAAAAAATGGTCATGAT